CCCGTACCGACGTCGGTCCGGGCCGAACGTTTAGGTTTAAGTTAGTACGTCGGTAAGGACGTCGTACGTACTTGTTGTTACGTTACTCTCTCTACTCTCTCTCTCTCTCTCTCTCTCTCTCTCTCTCCTGTACACACATGATAGTTTAGGATAGGGGCCTCTTTTATGAACTGTAAAATGTTGTTTGGTATTGTCTTCCAAAGTAGTGTAGACCTCTCTCTCTCTCGTTTAGAGTCGTTGCATTTTGGGCTGAGGCCCTCAATAAGAAGTGTACCACCGAATTTGATGGAGAAGTGCAGATAGAGCCATCTCATCTTTGACTGTGTGGATGCCTTTTGTCGTTATGATGTGTGTATGAATTTAAATACTTGGGAAGCCAAGAGAGGATGGAGTACAAAAATTGAATTGCTTTTCATCTTCCACTCACCCAACATGCCTTGCGTTTGTGGGTAATGAACCTGGCACGTGAATCAGTGTTTGAAAGCCGATTGATCCGACTTGGAATTGCCACGAGCAGGATCGAGAGCTAGACGATTCCAAATGGATAATCCCCTAAATCGACTTATCCTGTTTTACTGGCAATGATCCAATGCAGACTCGACGAATCAAACTTTAGTAACTGTTGATTCAGGGCCAGATTCTGATATTTTAAACTAGAAGCAAAGAAGAGATGACCAAATCTCGGATATTCCTTTACCCTATCAATTTTGGGAACTTTTTTACTTTTTCTATTTTTATTTTTCTTGAAAAAGTATGCACAAATCATGATTAATGATAAAACTTCTAAAATAAAACATAAAATCAAATAGATGAAGTTAAAGGGATGGGAGAGCGGCTCTTCATATTTTCGCGCCAAAGGGATGGGTTTTTTGGGCGAGTGACGTCTATTACCCGTCAAGCGTGTAATGGTTATCCTAGCACTTACCGTCGGTAATGGATTTTACATCTTTTGAAGAAATCTTAGATAACTTATTTTCATTTTTTTATGACTCAAGGACCCAAATGTTGTAAGTGTTCTATTTCCTTGTAATATATTTGTATGTATTAGATTTTTAGGTGCTCATTATAATATCTAAGTAAGGTGCACATTAACCCTCAAGTAGACATGAGTGTTCCAAAGTTAGAAAACCTTCAATTTGGAATAAAGAAAAGAAGAATTTTCAGTCATAAAATTAATGCATCTTGTAGCAAGTTATCTGGACTATCTCGTTTCAAGATTTTCGAGTGTTTATAGATACACTTGATTTGCAATATTTGAAATTTTTAATTTCATAACTGGGGTTGAATATTTTAATTCAACTTCAGTTGGTATTGAGCCCGTACTTCTTTGTCTTAGTTATGGGTGACTTAACTAGACACCTACATGATGAGGTATCGTGGTGCATGTTGTTCGTATATGATATGTTTTGGATCAATGAGACCCGAAATGACATTAACACAAAGTTAGAACATTGGAAGAATGTTCTAGATAGAGTATATGGAATGTAAGTTTAATAATAATAAAAGTAGAGACGAGGAAGTAGTTAACATTGATGGCCAAGGAGTACAAAAAAGACCACACTTTCAAGAACTTGAGTCGATAATCCAAGAAAAATGAGAGATTAATGAAGATGTCGCACATAGAATTAGAGTTGGGTGGACAAAATGAAGATGTACAATTAGAATTTTATGTGATCGCCCCATACCAATAAAGCTGAAGAACAAGTTCTATAGGATAGCTGTGAGACCATCTATACTCTCTATAGGGTTGAATATTGAGCGGACAAAAAACAATATACCCATAAAATGAGTGTAGTGGAGCAGATGATGTTAAAATGGATAAGTAGTAAGACAAAAAGAGATGGAATTCGAAATGAATCCATTCAGAAGAATTTCGGTGTGGCACCAATATGAAAGAGAGTAAACTTAGGTGGACTGGCAATGTATGATGCTAACCAAGTACAACACCTGTTAAGATGTGCAAGTTAGATCAAGTGGAAGGACTTAAAATGGCAAAGGGGTAGGCCTAAATAGATGTAGTTGGAAGTGATTCGGAAAGATATCGAGACTTATGACCTCACTGAGGGTACAACATTTCATAGAGTAGAATATATGATCAGGATTTATATAGCCTATCTCAATTAATTTGAAAAAGCTATAATGATGATGAACTGGGGTTGAATATGAATTTTCTAAGCCATTTGTAAGATTTCTGACACTCGAACTGCATCTTCGAGTAAAATTTAGATTTGTGCCTTGTATCTCATAAGGTGGGGGTACTTTATCCGAATATCATCCACCTAGACGTCCATTTTCAATGACGTATACTGTTAAAACTAAATTGATTTATGATTTTTGTAAACATGCAGTCCCATTTCAGCCTAAATTGATTCCTCGTAAAAATGTAAAGGGTGTGGTTTGTAATAGGCCGAGGCCCTAAACAATCAAAATAAAGCGCACCTTTAGATAGTGGCAAAATATATTATTTTAGTGTCATAAATCATTCTTATAGCTTTAAAATTCATCTTCATATCTAATTGTAAAATCTAAAGATTAAAAATAATGTAAATTGAGCAAAACTGTGAGCATTTGAAAATCTTGAAAATTAACCGTCTAGATAATACATTACAAGATGTAGTATTTTCAAGACTTGAAACTTTTTTTTCTCATGTCCATGCATCTTGAGGTTGAAATGATTAAATTAATGATTTTTCAGCATTGAAACAACCTCTTCCAATAAATTTTTGAGGTGCACTATAATTTGATGGTTTAGGGCCCGTTCTTATATAAACTTTTTCAAATGTAAAATAAAGGAAATAAAATTTTCACATTCGTGCTTCTTTGTTTAAAGAAATTTTTTTTCATACGAGCTGGACCGCATTTCTACGGTCTTAAGGTATAAAGCATCCATCTTAAAGATGGATAGAAATAGGTGGTCCATCTAAAAACAATTGAAACTAACGGCCCACATATTTTTTTCATAAAATCATTATTTTTGTCTTAAAATTTATTTATTTTCTTAATATTCATGATCTCCATGTTACAGATTACATGTCCTAACTTGGGTCCAAAATTCCATCCCAAAAATAGATTTTTAAGAGTTCACTCATTTCTACATGAACTCAAAAGTTTATATAAGGTCTTAACCTTATAATATATAGGTAAGGTACACCTAAAAAACCCACTAGTGAAGGTTGTTCTTATGCGGGAAAACCCTTAAATCGATCATCTCGACCTCGAGATTCATAGACATGAAAAACAATTGGATTTATAGTCTTAAAATAGTTAATCTTCTAACACATTATTTGGACCGTCCATTTTTCAAGATTATCAAGTGTTTACAAATCTCCTTGATTGTCACCATTTCTAGAACTTTAAATTTTACAACTGAGGAGCGATAATAGATTTAATATCATTGCAAGGCTTTGAGGCACCGAAACTGCATGTTCGACATAAGTTTAAGGCGCACCTTACTTCAATAGTATAAGGTTGACACCTTATACAAACCTCACCGCTCATAGAAACTGTCCTTGTTTAAAAGCTAATGGCGCACGTGGTTAAATAGGCTGCCATGGGTGTCATTTTCGTTGCTTTCATGAAATTGGTGGGTATGTTTGTAATCCGAGCCGTGAGAAAGTCGAAGGCTGCGAATCTACTCCATTGTCGGTGATGCGGTACTTCTATGAATGAGATAATTACCAAGATACCCACGTTCTATTGTCCATCCTTGTTTGATTATCAATTAATTTTTTTTATAAATATTTTTTTTCTAAATTTTGAACATTGTTTAAAAAATCGTCGATTCAAAATTTTATAGAATATTTGGACATGGTTGCAATCTTAGCAGTTTTTTATTTTGAATTTTTTTGGCACGACTCAAAAATTTTTGGGTGAGTAACTCGACTATGAATTGTTCAAGTTAGAGTGGGTAATTCAAGCCTAGGCGATTTTTTTTTTTTTTTTTTACCTTTAGTTTTGGATAATCTCTATTCGTAATAGGATTAGAACTCAAGAGATCATGATGCTTTGTTTTTTTTTTTGTAGACAATTTTTATTTATAATAGGATTAGGGCTCAAGAAATCACATTGTGACGTTTTTATTTTATTTTATTTTATTTCTTTTTGGATGATTTCTTAATAGGATTAGACTCAAGAGATCACATTAGAGCCATCAAGTTATAAATATACTCGATCCTAACTTCTTTTTCTTTTTATCTCCAAATTTTATAATTTGAGGTGAAAATAAATTATAAGACTATTGTTAGAATTTTGAACACCATTAGTTCTCGCTTAAAATTATTTATTCGTAGCGAATCACGTTTTTTCTTATCTTTTTTTGGTTTTTTCTTTTCTTAAATTTGGATTTTTTATTTTTTTTTCAAACGATTAACCTACTTTCCTTAGCACGAACTTTTTGCTCTCTATTTAAACACCCTCGATATTGCTAATTTTTTTCCAATCGCCGTGAAACCACTTTTCCGCCTCCCAAATCACGGGAACGAATCCCTCTTTCTCTCCTCAAAACCACCTTCAAAACCGCTTTCTCGCTAGAGCGCTTCAATTAGCCGGTTTTCCGTCTCAAACTGGCCCAATTCTCTATTCTCTGGCCTCCATAACCACTCGTAAAACCGCTTTCCCGGTTCATGTTCCCGCCAAACAGCAACCAGGTATCTGCAGAGCAAGGAAGCTGGAAAAACTGCTTTCTAGAAAAATCGTTCAGGCGAACCGGTTTTCCGCCGTGTTAGAGCCAGTGTTCTGCAGTTTAAAGCAGCTCGAAGAACTGCTTTCCAGCAAAACCCGACATTCGAGGTGGTTTTCCGGCACTGTGGGGTGTGACCTCAAAACAGAAGCCTTCTCCACGCGAAAACCACCATCAGGGCAGCTTTCCTATAATCCAATCAAAATAAGCACACTTCCCGTCACAAAACCGCTTTTTTCCACTACACAGTCGCCCTCAAAACAACAACCACATAGTTCCGGTCAAAGTCGGCGGTTTTCCGTCAAAAATCACTCCGGAAAACCGCCTCCCACTCATTCCTGGCAAAACAAGAGGTCTTCCCCCGCTAAACCACCCCACAAACCACCGATTGCCATGGATACAATACCGGTGGTCTCAACATTCACTTCTCCCTTTGAAAACTCTCCAAGATCAGACTCGAGCTCACCTTTTAGAAAACCCCTGAGTTTATGGCCTGGTATGTATCATTCTCCTGTAACAGATGCTTTATGGCAAGCTAGGTCAAGTATTTTTGAGAAGCTTCTGGATTCTAATGGACCTCCTCAGAGCGAGCTTCTCTGTAAAACCCCAAGCCAGAGCCGAACCAGTATTTTTTACAAGTTCTCTACAGATTATATACTGAGAGAGCAGTACAGGGATCCATGGAACGAGGTCAGGATTGGGAAGCTTTTAGAAGATCTTGATGCCCTTGCTGGAACTATCTCTGTAAAGGTACAGAATGACCTGGGTTTTTTCTCTTGCTGAATGGTCTCCAGGGTTTTGTTTTCCTTGTTACTGTTTCTCCTATGTTAAAATAAGGTTTTTGTTAGGTATCTGAAAGTTTGGCGATCATGTTAGAAGTAGAGCTGAAACTTTTCTTTGATTGTGTTTTTCACTTTTCCAGCATTGATAGGATGAAATATGATATTTTCCTGGAATGTTCTGATACTTACTGGTTCTTTTTGAAACCAAAATTTGGGCGAAAATTCGAACTTTGAGTCAGCTTTCAGAATCGCAATAATGGAGTACTTACTTCGAATCAGATTTTTCATTATGATCAATTGACTGAATTTGGGGACTTCGAAAATTGTGGTCTACTTCTGCAATTAAATTTGGGGATTCCATGGTTGTTCATCTTTGCTGAATTGGTTTAATTTAGGTCACCGTTGCATTGCTTGGACAAAGACTTTGCACCTCGAAGTGGTCAAAATTCTTTCTTTACTTTGAAGTTTTAGTATAAATTTGAGACAATTTTGTTTCCCCCTCTCAAAAAAACTCCTTACAAAATTTTAATGAATTTCTCATGAGTTTCAACTGAAGATCCTCAGTCTGGACCAGAGCGGTCAGTCAGTTGGAATTTCAGGCAATTTCATCTAAAGTTCAGACCAAATCTCGGTTAAAGCTGCTGAAATTCAGAACCATGCGTGATTCATTTCTCTATTTAATAATTGTTAATGAAGGCTCGTCTTTGGAGTGATGTGCTCTTTATTACATGTGCACACTTGAGTGTTGTTCTATTTTTAATGGATGGTTAGATTTCTAGGAGACGTGTAACTCACTTTTTTCCTTTTGGAAATGATTATTTAATGCCCATTTGAGTATCTTCTATTGACTATTTTTTCTTTATTGTATACTGTTAGTGTGGTTTATGAAATGAAAAAAGTTTATATAGAGCCGAGGCTCTAAACAATCAAATTAGAGCTCACCTCAAAAATTTCACTAGAAGAGGTTGTTTTGATTCCCAAATATCCTCAAATTGATCATCTCAACATCAAGAAGTATGAACAGGAGAAAAACATAGATTTCAATGTCTGGAAATAGTGCATCTTGTATCGCATTTTTGGACCGTCAATTTTCAAGATTTTCAAGTTCTCTTAGATCTGCTCGATCTACACTATTTTTGAAGCTTTAAATTTTATAATTAAATATAAAAATATATTTTAAGGCTATCACAAAGATTTCCAGTATTGAAACCATATTTCTCGATACTATTTGAAGGCAGGCTCTAATTTGATTGTTTAGAGCCTCGGCTCTATACAAACGACACCCTAGATAAAATTATTTATGGGGTATCTTTTCGATTTATTACTTTTGTTTGTCGAATAGTCATAGTGTGATTTATTATTTGATGTGGATCAGTCAACTTTTGACAGACGTTGAATAATATTTTATGTAAAAAGGCACAAAATTAAAGAATTAGCATGGGTAGTGCAGGGATGGATACTGGAGAAAACCATAGTCATTTTCATATTGACTTGGTGGCTAGAACTCCAATATTCTTTAGGAAATCATTATAAAGAACAAAATCATTGTCTATATGCATCTGTGTATTGTATAAAGCGAATAACATATAGAAGCTGCATCCACCATCCATTTCCACTGAACGATGGTAGGAGCCTAAATGTGCATCGCTGAATGTCCAATTAGGCTCCACTCCAGTTTACTTTCAACCATTCTTCACTGGGAATAGTTGGATGTAATTCGAAGTACCACATGAGCATATGCATGGTGTTAGACTATGGTTCACCTAGTTAAAACTAAAAGGAGCAAATGAGGCAAATGAAGTCAAATTAAAAGAAAGAGCAATGAAGCAAAATGAGTGAGAACCTTTCACTTTTAGTTTGTGAGAATAATGTCTCGTTCGACTTTTGCAGAGATTATCGAGGCATCAAGATTTACATACAAAATTAAGACGGGATTTGGCCGTTCTACATTACGTTTGTTTCATTTTTACCTAATGTGTGCATTTATTTTTTCCTCTGATCCTTTTTGGTTTTCTTATACCTTATAGTGAAATATTGCTGCCTTCGATCATTCATGACCTTATTTTGCAGATGCCATGCTTCTTTCGTAGAACTTTCCATGTGATCACTGCCTTTCATGAGCGGTCACTGGATCTTTGTTTGACATTTACTTTTCTAAGTCCTGTAAAACTTAAAAGAATTAAGCAAGCCTGGGCATCTCCAAAGCTAATATTGCTGAGTACGAGTTTGATTCCTTGCCAAACCTTTACTGCTTTCTTGGGCTCTGGCTCTGGCTCTGGCTTAGTTTCTTCTAGCCTCTGGCTTAGTTTCTTGAGCTCGTATTCTGCTTTCGTTGTTGGGGGTTCAAATCTCTTGCTCACTTGTTAAAAATAGGGAATGATTCACTAGCGTGAGGATATACCAATGTGCTTTTGGCTTTCTATGGCAGCATTGTTCAAATGATGATAGCACAACAAGGCCCCTTCTCTTGGTGACTGCTGCAGTTGACAAAATGGTTCTAAAGAAGCCCATCCATGTAGATACTGACCTGACAATAGCCGGTTCTGTTATTTGGGTTGGGCATTCATCCCTCGATATTCAGATGGTGGTGACTCAACCAAGAGATGGTATACACTAATAATTTGCAAAACTTGTAAAGGAAAACCTTTTTCTTTCCTTTTTTTTTTTTTTTTTTATATAGGGAAGCTAGACATTGACAAACAAAGGAAAGCAACTTACAGAAAAATTAAGAGGAAAAGATACAGATAAACTTTTCATACTTTTTTCCACTGAAGAAAAGTGAATATCCAAGCTAAAAATAAATATCACCCCAAAATAGTTTTTTGTACTCAAAGTGAAAACAATGGATAACTCATTTGCACATTTTGGCAGGGGACTCTGATTCTTCAGACGACCCTATAGCTCTCACTGCGAACTTCACATTCGTGGCAAGAGACTCGAAAACAGGGAAGTCAGCACCCGTCAACCACCTCACCCCAGAGACAGAGGAAGAGAAGAAGCTATATGAGGTAGCCGATGCAAGGGATAAGTTAAGAAAGAAGAAGAGAGAGGAAAAGAAGATGGAGTTTCAGAAGAGCTTTCGCATTTTGCATCGGGATGGTGAGAGGCTAAGGGCATTATTATCAGAGGGGCGAATATTGTGTGATATGCCTGCACTTGCTGATAGAGATAGCATATTGTTGAGGGACACAAGGCTTGAGAATTCACTTATATGCCAACCCCAACAACGCAATTTGCATGGGCGTATCTTTGGGGGGTTTCTCATGCATAGAGCATTCGAGTTAGCATACTCGACATGCTATGCTTTTGTGGGGAGGATGCCCCGGTTCTTGGAGGTGGATCACGTCGACTTCCTCAGACCCGTAAGTTTGCCAGACTTTGGGTTTTAGATAAGCAACTGATTTTATTTTTGTGGCACTAAGCAAATGAAAATTTTCTAGTCTTCTCAATTTCACGTCACATGGGGACAGATGAAGTTTTGTTGAATTTCCTGTGGTGATAATGTCTAGACTCAAGATAAGTGTTTTAGAATCTTGAATTTTTCAAGGAAATTATTGGGGCAAGGAGAAAACTTTTTAGAAAAAAAACTCAAAAATCAATATTTTGAAATATCTTGAGAAATACATCACAGAAATTCGTAATGAATTTTAAATTTTGATCTTCCTCCGGAAAATCTCTGGGGAAAAATAAAACAGGGAAAATTTATACAAGTCAGATTCTTGATAAAATTTTTGCAGTGCCTTGTAAAAATTGGAAAGTATTGTGAACACACAAGATTTTCAAATGAATTGGATCTGGTTTCTATTATGTGTCTCGATATCACTTTGAACATAATGTACATAAGTGGATTACTGCTGCTTGGGCATGGTCTAGATTTTTTGGGCAAATTTCTGTTAGGAATATAATGAAATGTGATAGCAATCAACATATGCATGTAGGCTCTTATCGTTTGCTAATCGGGAGATTGGTCCTTTTGTTGAGGCTATTTACTAATTGAGCGTGCCTGAAACAACAAAATACCTTATATTTTAATTGTAATAATTCTTTGTTTATCACTACTTGTTGTAGTAGTGGTTTAGTGAGTTATGTATTATTTATACAAATTTTTCGGTGCAGGTGGATGTTGGAGACTTTCTTCGCTTCAAATCATGCATCTTGTATACGCAATTGGAGAACCCCAAGCAGCCTTTGATCAACATTGAAGTAGTTGCTCATGTTACAAGACCTGAACTCAGGTCCAGCGAGGTACACTAACTGAACATGTGAATGTATATTTGTTTTGCAATAGATGTAAGAGAGAGAGAGAGAGAGAGAGAGAGAGAGAGAGAGAGAGAGAGAGAGAGAGTAGTAGTAGTAGTAGTTAGTTACGTTACTTACTTACTTACTTTACGTTTTAACTTTTAAACTTTAAACTTTAAACTTTAAACTTTAACTTAACTTACTTAACTTACT